AATATCACATACATTCCACACATAAGATTGAGTTGGTGCACATAACTCGCTCTCGGAAATATTTTGACAATTTTGTCACAGGCGGTTTCCTCCACAATATGTATAAGGATCAAAAGTAGAATTACCAACACCTAAACTCTAATAATTATAAGATGTCATGTTTCTCAAATCAACAAGTAAAATAAATTAAAGTTTAAAAAAAAAGAACAAAACAAAATAAAAGTTCAAACTTGAAACCTAACAATATATACAGCTATAACTACATCGTTAGTTCCCCGACAGTGGCGTCAAAATTTGATCACGGCCAACTATAGTCCTAAAAAGGATAAGCGATCACTATAAATATAATATCAGGTCTAAGAGTTCTGAGTCGAATCCACATAGAACTAAGGTTTTGTTACAACTATTTACTTTCACTAAGAAGACAAGTTTGAATAAATTCTAAAATTATAAAGATTGAGATTTTATTTCTAACCAATTAACTAACTAATTCTAGAAAGCAGTAAAATTATTAACTAGGGATCCTAAGGGTTGGAGATAAGATTAGAGAGAGGCCAAGAGTTATGAATTACCTAGTTGTTGGAATTCTCCCTGCTACATTTCCTATAATTTCGCCCAAGTATTCTCTACCGATCGTGAGTACTTCAGGTATCGTAATTTTCTTCCAAGAAACTACTACAATTTACTAGACGTATTCTTCTAAACTACGCTAGCTGGCACTAGGTCACCGCTCACCAAGATTGCACCAAGGTTTCGTTATTCCTAATCACACATTTAAATCCTCTGTATTGATTCCTCACGTACATTAGGAGTGATGTTGTTCAACAACTACCTAAATATGTACCCTTTTCCAAGAAATACACGCTAAATAGGCACTGTCAATCGAGGGCCCTTCAATCAACTGAAATAAACACGTAGTTAAATAAGTAGAGAAATTCAAAGGCTAAATTATATTAAACGCAACAGAAAATCATCCTTTAAAAGGTCCATAAAACCCTAGATAAAAGATTTTAGATACTCATAACCATACTAGCAATCATGATAATAATTGAAAGGATTAAAATACAGATTAAGGAAGAATAGAGAGAAAACTCTTATGATTCATTGCTTCCAAGTGTTCCCGTAGCCTTTTTGCCTCTCCAATAATGTCTCTCCCTCATAAAATAGATTTAGAACCCATTTTATACATGTTGGAGGCGTGTAGGGTCGAAAATACCAAGTCCTAGCTGAATTAGGACGAAATATACCCTTGGGGGTCTCGCTTTGCGCCTGGCGCGAACCTGGACACCAAACTTTTTCCACTTTTGTGCTCTGCTGCCCTTGGTGTTTCTGTTAGTCCCTGATGCGAACCTGGGCACCAAAGTCACACTTCCTCTAAATTCTTTCGTTTTTACTTCAATTTGCATGAAGCTTTCCAAATCACTTTCAATTGACTCCTATACATATAAATACCATTATTAAGCTCGAGTCACAAATATTCACACCAAAGTTAACAGGATTGAGGCATAATGCAAGGCAAATTACATGCAAAAATATGGCTTTTTAGACTAACATCAATGACAATATTCAAATGAATGTTAAATTAAAAAAATGGAGTTTATTTGATAAAGTAACTAAATGAGCAAAACAAATGTAGAAATATAACATATTTAGGAGTGCTCTTTTGACTTTTGACTCTATTTGTATAACGACCCGGCCAATCATTTTGAGTATTGTAGTCTCATTTTCCCATTTATTGCCTATTTTGTGTTCGTCTGTTTCTCTGCGAATTGTCAGGGTGGTTGGGTTAGTTCTGGAGATATTTCAAAATAAATTGAGACACTTAGTCCCAAGGTTAGAAGCCTAAGTTCAAAGAGCTGACCGGATATTAACTTATATGTAAACGACTCCATAATGACATTTTGATGGTTTTGATAGCTTTGTATGATGATTTTGGACTTAAGAGTGTGTTCAGATATTGATTTGGAAGTTTGTAAATGATTTTGGCTTGAATTGGCGAAAGCTGAAAAGGTTGAGGTTTGAATAATTAGAAAGTTTGACCGAGAGTTGACCGGGCTTGAATTTTGATTTTGAAAGTTGGAATAGGTCTGTTGTACTATTTTATGACTTGTGTATAAAATTTGAGATCAATCAGAGTTGATTTGATAGGTTTCGACATCGATTTTGGAAGTTGGGGATCCATTAGTTTCATTAGACTTGAATTGGGGTGCGATTCATGTTTTTGATGTTGTTTGATATGATTTAAGGCCTCGACTAAGTTTGTATCGTATTTTAGAACTTGTTGGTATGTTTGGATGGGGTCCCGGGGGCCCTAGGTGTGAATCGAATTGAAATCGGGATCAAAATTTGGACTTAGAGGATTGCTGAAGTCCGGTGTCATCGCACCGGCGGTGGGTGTGGCCGCATGTGCGGGTTGAGTCATCCCAGGTGCGAGATTTGGGGAGGAGGCCTGGGAGCGCATGTGCGTGGAAGTTTTCGCACCTGCGAGGTCGCAAATGCGGAAGAGTGGTTGCAAAAGTGGCATAGGGGCTTGAAGGGCAGGTGCATAGAAGCGGGGGGTTTTGCACAGAAGCGCACCCGCAGGTGCAGGCAAGGGATCACAGAAGTGGTTGGTCGGATCATAAGTGACTTCCGCAGAAGCGGTGAAAGGGCTCGCAGGTGCGAAATGCCTAGCAGATTTCATAAAGACGAGGGTTAGAGTATTTTCTTCATTTTTGGACTTTGGGAGCTCGGATTGAGACAATTTTTGAATATTTTTTTATTAGATTTCAAGAGGTAAGAAACTTTTGATCATTTTTATATATTAATATTGAACACCCATTAAATTTTTCCCCATAGATTTGGTGTTTTTGACGTAAAAATTAGGGATTTTTGACTTATGTATTGGAGAGTAAGATTTTGGGATTTGAGTGTCGATTTGTGGTCGAAATTTGATGATTTTGGTAAATATGGTTAGACTCATTGTTAAATGGGTGTTCGAATTTTGTAAATTTTATCGGGTTCTGAGACGTGGGCCCGGGGTTGACTTTTTAGGTTGACCTTTTGACTTTGGTTAAAGAACTTACCTTTATCATATGGAATCAATTCCTATAGTTTTTATTGATTGTATTAAGTTGTTTGTGACTAGATTCGAGTTGTTCGGAAGCTGATTCGCGAGGCAAGGGCTTGTTAGAGTAGGAATTTACGCTGCTTGAGATAAGTAACACATCTAAACTTGATACTGAGAATATGAATCCCTGGATTTCGTGTTATGTGGTTGCTATTGAGGTGACGCACATGCTAGGTGACGAGCGTATGGGCGTGCACTGTAGTAATTGTGACTCGGTTGATTCCGTGGTACCGTGTTATTGTCAAACATTATTTCTATTCATGTAAACCTTACGTGTTAGAGTAATTGAGCTGAAATCCATGCCAGGAATCATATTTAGGCTATATGCTTATTCTGTTGGAACCCGCTGAGGTCATTTATGTTGTTGTATTATTTGCTTAAATTGTAAATTTTATACTCGGTCACATTCATCATTTTCATATCATATCTCAGTCTCTGTTGTCATTTATTGTTACATCATGTTATCATTATTTGGATTGATTGGCATGAGATTTGTGAGCCCGAGAGACTGGAGAGACTGATGACTGAGTTGGGGTCTGAGGGCCGGATTGTGAGTGATATTGGGATTTGGCTGCACGTCACAATAAGTTTTATTGATTTATGATGGAATCGGGATGCACGCCGCAACAGGTATTATTGATTCATGATGGGATCGGGCTGCACGCCACAACAGGTTTTATTAGCGCTTGGGCAGGATCCTTCCCCCCAAAGTCTGACATACCTGTAGTGAGCGCAGGTACCACACAGTGTTGAGTGATTGAGTGTGATGAGTGAGGGTTGAGACAGTCAGATTGAGTACTCTAAGAGCGTGAGTACATGAGAGTATCATTGTGATATATTGCATGTGACATGCATATTTTTTTATGTAGACATAGAGATGTAAAATTCCTCATGCTAAGTATACTTGGCATATTTTACCAGTATTGAGCTTAATTATTAAATTTGAAAGCATGTCTACATTTCCGTATTGCATATAAACCGATTACGAGATTTCTCTGAGTATTATTGTCATTTCCCTATTATACATGTGATGTTATTATCTGGATTTGAACTGTGTCTTTTTAACCTCGTCACCGCTTTCTGCCCAAGGTTAGTCCAGTTACTTATTGAGTACATTTGATCGGTTATACTCATACTACACTCTGCACTTCGTGTGCATATCCAAGTACATCAGGACCAAGTGGTTGCTAGAATTGGAGCATTATCTGCTTGGAGACTTTTGAGGTAGCTGTTTTGGCATCCGCAGACCTCGACTCTCCTTCTTTTCAGTTTATTTAGCACTGTTCTATCTTTCTAGACAGTTGTATTAGGAGTTTTGACTGTGTTGACATATAGTACTCATGTACTCGGTGACACCCAAATTTTAAGAATTTTGTATTTGAGTCACAGTTATTCTTATCGGTTATTTATGAGATTTTCAATGTTAAACTTATTTCATAATGCTTTTAATTCAAAGTGCGTAGTTATTTGTGATTGTCGGCTTGTCTAGTACTGTGACATGCATCATCACGATAATTTGTCCCATGAATATAACTTCAAAGGTCAAAATCAAAAGTGTTCTCTATTAATCAAACGAGAAGCTAACACTTGTAAAACTTGAATTTTCGCGTATAAGGCAAAAATTAGAGACCATCCACTTTAATGAGTTATAACATAGTAAAAAAACTAGTGTGTTATTTTGTGATCTTTAACGTATCATGTTCCTCTAAAAGCATGTCAAAAGTAAAATAATTATTTTAAAATTAAAGTGTTTTAAATATAAAAACTTGTCTCTTTTTAAAAAAGGAAAAATTGCAGCGTCTTTTTTAAGGTAGTGGGTTGGGCTGCAGGAACATATACATTTCCTGCTACCTTACCAAAAACTTAAAACGCCAAACTCAAAACTTAAACTCACAAGACACGAGAGGATATAGACAACAGACCCATTCTCTCTCCTAGCTTTCCCCAGAAAAGATATAAAGTGAACTTTAACGAAGATCGCTATCCAACTAATAATTGCTCTCTCCTTTTCCTCCTATATTTTCTTTGTTTAATTTATGTGGGGTTTCTACGTTCTCAGGGGTTTATATATATATATTCTTGTCTTCCAATATAACTTCCAGTATTTGAGAGTCCTGTTGGCCAATATTCAGTTAGCTCTATTAGTAGAAAGTATTAGCAAATTTGCACTTTGCTAATACTATTTTCTCGTTCAAGATTTCAGTATTTGGAAGCTTGTTTTAACCTTTGGTTAAATTCTAAGGTAAAGCAATGATCTTTATCTTCCAATAACTCTTTTGTCTATGCTCACATATTTTAGTTTCTTGAATTTTCTTGCAAAAAGAGAGTTTTTAAATACCCAACATAGATACAAAAAAAAGAATGGAGGATTGTTCAAGAAACAAAGAGAAACAACATCAGCTTTTAGATTTGATTCCTAAAGAGAGGAAATTGTATATGAAAAGGGAGCAAGAAACAAGCCATGTTACTACTTCAGAGGAGAAAAATCTAGAGTTGAGGCTTGGTCCACCCAATGAAGAAATATGGTTCAAGAAAATTGTCTACAAAAACAACTCCAAAGAAAGTGAAGACACCCTTTACTCTGTTAATGGAAAAGACCAAGTAGTGAAATTTTCTTCATTTCTTCAGCTTCAAACAACGTCAAATCAGAGCCAAAACCTGCATTTGATGACACAAGAATCGTCACAAATTTGTTGCAGTAAAGCAGAGAAAGCATTTTCACCAGCTGTAGCTGCTGCAGAAACAGCTACAGCTGTGCCTAACAGCGCCCAGAAAAGGTACCTCAGATTTTTTCTGCTATTTTTCCCTTATTTGTGTTTCTTTTGGACAGAGGATATTCACTATTACACACAATGTTAGAAGCTGTGGTCCATGCATAATAGTTTCACCTTTTGATGCCTGCAATCCTATGAGACTGATTTTAAAGTACAAGTAATATACTTTTATATGCTGTAAATACTTTTTAGACCATCAACAAATCCCATTTTATATGATGCATTTGACAGTTTAAGAAAGAATGAGAGGCTTTTGAGACTTAGTTCAAAACCAAAAAAATTTATTTTGTGCCTTAGACAACTCACATTAGTTGTGTGAACTTTCTATTTTTGTCTTACAATTTTGTGGATAAAAAAAATGTAAGATATTGGTCCATAAATTTGTGAAATAAAAAGAGGCCTCACGCAATTAATGTGGCACACCATAATACTTTTCGTTTAAAACAAACTATTTATATGTGTGGTTATAAATTATTTTATTAAAGGTTAAATAAGAAGTTTAATATTACATTATTTTTTAAGTATAGAAAAATATCATTGTTTTTGGACGGTCTAAAAAGAAAAGTGCATCACATAAATTAGAACATACTATAGGAAATACCATAATAAATTAATGGAACTAAAATCTGTTAGGACAAATTAAATTATAATTGTAGCTACTGCTTGTTTGGATGATTGTTACGTATCGTTTCATAATATATTGTATTGTATTGTACTTCATTGTATTATATTATTTGATGAATACAATATTTGGATAGATTGTATTGTTTGCCGCCGTTTCATGATGTCACGCACCAACAATACGAAAAATAAACTTGCAACATTATGAAGAAAAAATAGGATGTGAAATAGATCATTATTGTATTTTTTTTATGTATAAAAAAATATGATTATTTAATAATAAAGAAAGGTAAATGATGCTCTGGTTGTTGATGTGCTTTCTAATGGCGATTTTCTTGGATTAGCTAATATGATTATATCTGAGATACCTGAAATTAAATATTATCCTACATCTATATGCCAAAAGGTTCTGATTTGTTTTTTTAATACTTTCGACTAACTTGTGGTTCTTTCGTATTGTTAAAAAATAATTGAAACAATAGGACTGCTCCAGCTCCCGTTGTGGGTTGGCCTCCAATTCGTTCATTTAGGAAGAATTTTGCAAGTAGCAGCAATACTAAACCTGTATCCGAGTCACAAAATCTGGTCCTAAGTAAAGCTGCTATCGTTGAGCAGAATGGGTTGTTTGTTAAGATCAATATGGATGGAATTCCAATTGGAAGAAAAGTTGATCTCAAAACTTATGACAGCTACGAAAAGCTCTCATTCGCCGTTGATGAACTCTTTAGAGGCTTATTTACAGGTAAGTTATGAAATTTGATTCTTTTTTCTCAAAGAAGTTGACACGTGAATCCACAAATTTCATCTTGGAGCTCCATTAATAGCAATAACAAATTTTCTCATATTTGCTAGCTGCAAGAGTATGAATAGACTAAAAGTTAACTAAATGCAATATTGAGCAATTTCGAATAGTATAGGGACAAATTTGGACCTTTCTCTGCTAGAATATAAATTGTAATGGTAATGTGGCTTACTTAATTTATTTGCTCGTCTGTTGTTCTTATAGCTCTAACTGATCAATCTGCTGATGGAAATCAGAACAAGGAAGAGGAAGAGAAGCCGATAACTGGTTTATTAGACGGGAGTGGCGAATATACCCTTGTTTATGAGGATAATGATGGTGACAAGATGCTTGTTGGAGATGTCCCTTGGCAGTGAGCATCTTATATATAAAACTCCATTCATATGATGCTCTTATTACTTATCTTATTCTTTTTAATATTTGATGCTCACACATATATATTCTGAAACTATATCTTAATGCTTTATACAAAGGGAAACAACTATACACTTGCCTGCTTTGAACTGCATTATTGCATGTTTTTAATCAGTATCTGATAAACCAGACAAGAAATGCATGTTGTTGAGGCAAAGAGTTACTTAGTAAACAGCTGAACTCAATTATTGAATTCTAATTATGTCGCATTCATAATTCATACCTCCAAATTGGTATCTATGTTTGTATATATATATATGCTGCAGTTTTTGGACTGGTTTAGATGTGTTCTAATCTAGCTAGAAAATTTTACATGTAATTGGCAGCATGTTTGTATCGACTGTGAAAAGGCTGCGGGTATTGAAAAGCTCCAACCTGTCCACCCTAAGCCGTGAGTTGCATACTCTTCTTCTTGAATTTAACTTATATACATTTTACGGTATCATTGTATTTTAATATGTAAAGGAGAGTCTTAGCATAACTGGTAAAATTGTTGCTATGTGACCAGCCGGACACGGGTTTGAGCCGTGAAAACAGCCTCTTACAGAAATGCAGGGTAAGACATTACTAGAAATTCGGCAAAAACCGACCAAGGTCGACCGACCAACTTTTGTCGGTCAAAAAACCGGCCAAAAAACCGACCAAAGTTGGTCGGTTTTTCAAAATATTTTTTTTTAATTTTTTTTTACGAAACCGACCAACTTTGGTCGGTTTTCTTTAGCGCAAAAACCAACTTTGGTCGGTTTTTCAATAAAAATAAATAAAAATTAATATTAAAAAAACGACCAAAATTGGTCCGTTAATTCGGCTGGTCATTTTAAAAAACCGACCAACTTTGGTCGGTAATTTTATTTTTTAATAAAACCGACCAACTTTGGTCGGTGTTTAGCGGATTTCTAGTAGTGAGACTGTGCATAATAGACGCTTGTGATCCTGCCCTTTCTTGGACCCCGTGCATAGCGAGATCTTTGTGCATTGGACTGCCCTTTTTAGTGTATTTTGACATGTAGCAGGTTACCTACCTTATTTTTCAGCTTACTATCCCATTTACTATGGATGGTATCTGTATTTGTTTTTTAGGCGATATGATACTGTTAATTCTTTTTTATGGTCAGTATTGAAGTTAAATGCTATGTGACTTCCTAGCTCTGACAGTTGGGAACTGGTTTACTCATTTCAGGTGGGACTAAGCAGATTTAGATTCAACATTTCTCTGAAGAGTGAGTGAGATTGAAGTTTACTGGAGCTAACATTGATCCTATGTTTGATGAATGTTCGTGCAAATATAATTACATTTTACTGATCCTGAAAGATTATATCATAAAAGACGACTTGATTCTCAACTGAGCTTTTACGTTACATATATATTTGAAAAGTTCATCAACGGTTGTGTTGCGATGGATAAATCTCTCTACTCTTAACATAGAAGTTTCAGGATTAAGCCTTAAGAATGAAAAAAATCTTAATAGCTACGGAGCATTTCCCCTTTTAATGAATGTTATGCGGCGGCGCAAATCCGAATTAGTGGGTGCCCCAAAGCATGTATCGAAACCGGATGGGAACCAAAATAATAAGTGAAAACAAGATTGATCAAACACGGTGCCGCAAAATTGGTCTATCTTATTTTTGATAAAAGTGGGTTGCTCTAGTGGTGAGCACCCTCCAGTTCCAACCAAGAGGTTGTGAGTTCAAGTCACCCCAAGAGTAAGGTGGGGAGTTCTTGGAGGGAAGGAGCCGAGGGTCTATCGGAAACAGCCTCTCTACCCTAGGGTAGGGATAAGTTTTGCGTACACACTATCCTCCCCAGACTCCACTAGTGGGATTATACTGGGTTGTTGTTGTTGTTATTATGTCTTAAACGGGTTAGGACTCAAACCCGAAATTATGTGTATATAAATGTTAGGAAACTTGGGTTTGATGATTGAAAAAGTCACGATATTGGATTTCTGATGACTGTTAAAGTTAAGAATGCAATCCGCTCACTTTGGGTAATAGAAACTATGCTTCCGTTGCGATAGATTTTGTCTTATTTTTTTTTAAAAAAAATTTAAAATCATTCTTTGTTTAAGAAATATGATCATATTTTGGAGAAAAAAATTTAAAAATTTCCAAGTTCCTAGAGCCAGTTTTTTGGTGAAAATTTTTCTTCCACTCGCAAAATTTTAACTTTTCTTCAACTAAAATACATGTCTAAACACAATTCAACTTTCAAAAATTATTTTTTAACACAACTTAAAAAAATCTTTTTTTTTAAGTTTCACTCAAAAATCTATTTCCAAACGCTATCTACACATCTCTACTTATCTCAACATGCAATTTGCTTAATTCGGGAAAAGAAAGAGGAAGCCAAACACTAGCTTTCTGTAATTAGAGTGGCTGACTTTGATTTGACCTTTTAAAGTATTAGTTATAGAGGTATTCGATAGCTTTCTAGGTATTACCGAGCACTCTTGGATTGTTAAAACCAGGGCCGGCTCTAATGTTAATACGCTTGTGCCTTAAGGCCCTAAATTTGAGATACTCCATTTTTAGAAATAATACGTTTACATGTATTAAAAAATAATATATAGGCAGTAATTTTAGTACAAAAGTGAATTTTTCATGTACCATAAAAGCAATATTTTTAGATACGGAAATAAAGTAATCGTTTGACTAAATTACAAATGGGTAGTATGAATAATTTTTGTAACATGTGAATTGGAATTGATTTGACCAGGAAACTAGTACAAGTAGAAGATATTAGTCTAATTGATATACTTAATGATAGTAGGCTAGGAACTCACGTTTTACTATATTTTACACTCTAATTACTATACTTGGATTGTATTTGAGCCTAATTGTTAGTATGTTATACTTATTACGTGTATTATGCTTTATAGGAGGTGATATAAGGAGCGATTTTGGAGCTAAGTTGTATGATTGAGAGCTTTTAAGTCTGAGTAAAAACCCTAGGGATTAAATTGGGATCACGTTAGTGGGTCGAGGACCAAGTCTGAATGTCAAAAATTAAGAAAAATTCCTACTCTGAGAAAAATGCACTAACGCATCGTGGGGCGCTAGTTCAAAATTTTTGCAGAGTGAAATGCCACGACCCAAAATCCCACCTTAAGTATCGTGATGGCACATGGTCTCTATAACTAGGTAAGCCGATCAATTACCACAGTTAAACATTTTAACATGATATTTTTTTAAGCAGAGTTTAATATAAATACTGAAATAAAGGTGATACAAGCCAACGCGGCAATAATCACAACAATCTCCCCAATACTAGGTAGTACAAAGTCACGAACTCTACTGAGTACATAAAATAACTCACAACAAAATACAATACTGTTCGGATAGTGAATTAACATTACAATCAAATGGAAAAGGACTCCTAGAGATTGAGGCGATCGAGCAGCTCTACCTCTAATCCTCGCAATCAAAGAAGCTAACACTACCTGGGTTCACAGTCTCTAACATGTTGATTTGCATAAAAATATGCAAAAGCGTAGCATGAGTATACTATAATCGGTACAAAGTAAGTATCAAGACTAACCTCGATAGAGTAGTAACGAGGCACAAGTCAAGTCACCTACTAGACATAATAACATGTGCAATATCAGTATAAAACTAATAATGGGAGCAAGAAACGGTAAATGGTAATAAGGAGTAAACATATGGTAAAACAGTAAAGTAATCAGAACAACGTTAAAGTACCAGTGAGACCAAATAAGAAAAATAAATAACAACCAAATAATCAAGCCAAACTAACACAATGTTTATAACATAAATATCCCGAGGTACCACACCTCATAACCACAAGCCACGAGTCCAAAATCACAAAACATATATAAATGGAACCTCGTACCCACATTATTAATTACAGTCGCACGGACAACTCACGTGCCAAAATCTCAATCCGCCCGGCATGGTTATAGGTTCACTATCACAATCCGTCTGGCATAGTCACAGGCCTAACATCACACTGAAAGCATATATACAAGAATACATGTGCATGATCAATGAATTTTCAAGTTTCATACTCCTGAACTAGTATAAATGGCATATTATGGTGTATGCATGTGCAAGTGTACTATTACAATCCAAGTCAATAAGTAATATCAAAGACATCGAGTAGTTCATTGGAAACAACATAATAAGTCACGTAATTTGCATAACCCATACAAGGTAAACCACACCATCACACGAATATCATCAATAATATGCCCCCGGGCCATCATGTATCAACGCTGACATAGCCATCCTTATCCCACTATGATGACAATATCGTATTAGCCACATGTATCGCGTTGCCCAGACAATAAACACAATATGCACTTGTATCTCTCCACTTAGACAATATACCAATAGCCACATGTATCACTCCACCCAAACAAATATATCAATAGCCACCCGTATTATTTTGCCCAGACAAATATATCAATAGCTACTCGTATTACTCCGCACACTCAACAATAGTGAAATGCCACCCTTATGCTCTGCATAACACGAATTAATCCACACAAAAAATCCACATGTGTTAACTTTATAACAAAACGACATACCAACTCGTACCACACGTACCCATAGGCCATAACTTTGCCAAAATCAACAATACTAATATTACCACAATACATAGCCCATGACCCAACCACAATGTGTACAAGAATCTAAAAAAATAACAAAATAAAATGAAAACTAACTCAACAATGAAGCAAGATACTTACCTCAACAAAATAATACGAGGTAGTTTTCTCAACACAAAGTTAGGCAAGATACTTACCTCAAAGAAGCTAAATCAATACTCTAAAAGGTCTTCCCCGTGTGAAAAAATCTCTGGATGGCTAGAATCTAGCCAAAATAACTTAATATCATAGATATAATCCATAGGAAACAATTCGGGATAATAAAGCTTCGATCCAATTCCGACCTCAAATCGGCCTTCAAATCATCATTTTATGTTTTAGAATATTTTTACCAAAATCTCCAATTTCTCCAATTCAAATTATCAATTAAATGATAAAAACAAAGATAGAATCATGAAATATAACTAAATCTGAGTCAAGAATACTCACCCTAATCCAAAATGTAAAAATTTCCTCCAAAATCACTAAAATCCTAGCTCTCTAACTCAAAAAGTGAAAAAGTAACAAAAGCCCTCGAAATAGAGTGCTATATAGTCTACCCAGGGGTTCCTCTTCACGATCGCGGAACAAGCTTCGCGAATCGCGAAGCACAATTGCACTTCCCAGAGAAAATAAGCTACGCATTTGCGGCACATACCTCGTAAACGCGACGAACAGTAAGGCCAACATTCGCGAATGCGTCCAACATATCTTGAATGCGATGAGTAATTCCACCAGCCCCCAGCTTCCTTACGCAAACGCAGAACCAAAGACGGGAACGCGGACAACAACCAACTGAAACCTTCACGAATGTGTATCCACAGTCACGTCCGTAATGAACAAAATCACCCATCTCCAAGAATCGCTACGCGATTGCGGCTTCATTTTTGCGATCACGAAGAACAAGTGAAACACCAGAAAACCAGCAACTCCAAATATGGGCGAAATGGCCCGAAACTCATTCGAAACATAACCCGGGCCCCCGGGACCCCATCCAATCACACCAACCAATCCCAAACATAATGAGGCCTTACTCGTGGCCTCAAATCACATCAAAAAATACCAAAAGTACGAATCACACCTCAATTCAAGCTTGATGATCTAATAAACTTTCAACTTCTACAACTCACGCCGAACCATATCAAATCAACTCGGAATGATATCAAATTTTGCATGCAAGTCCTAAGTTATACGACGGAACTATACCAATTCCAGGAACAATAATTTGAACCCGATATTAACAAAGTCAACTCCGTGTCAAACTTCTCAATCTTCCAAACCTTCAACTTTCTAACTTTCGACAAAAAATATCAAATCAACCTATGGACCTCCAAATCCAAATTCGGATATATGTCTAAGTCCAAAATCACCATACAAAGCTATTGGAATAATCAAAATACCATTCCGAAGTCGTCTATACAAAAGCCAAACTCCAATCAACTCTTACCACATAAGCTTCTAAAATAAGGATCGTTCTTCCAAATCAATCCCGAATCACACGAAAATCATAATCGATCATACACACAAGTCATAATACATAACATGAAGCTTCTTAATACCTTGAACCACAGAACGGAATGCGAAAGCTTAAAATGACCGGTCAAGTCATTACATTCCCCCTCTTAAATAAAAGTTCGTCCTCGAACGTGCCAAGAACCGTTCCGAAGTCATCAAATCACTTTCACAATCCACATAAGTTTGCCAATGATCTCGCCCAAATCACACCTCAGTTTGGGGTTATGATGTGGTCGATTGCAATAATAAAACCCAACTAGGAGTCGAGATCGATCCGCAGAGAGCGTAGATGGGATTAGGTATATATTCGGACTAAGCACGTAAAGTATCTAAGATGCACTTCCACA